AACTTTTAAAGATCACATTGAGGGCATTCAAGCCAAATGTAACAAATATATAAAATGTTTGTATCCTCTTATAAACAGGAAATCCAAACTTTGCCTGACGAATAAACTTCTAATATTTAAACAAGTTTTTAGACCGGCCATGCTTTACGCTGTGCCAATATGGTCTAGTTGCTGCACTACCAGGAAAAAAGCACTTCAAAGGATTCAGAACAAAATTCTGAAAATGATTTCGAAGTTGCCTCCCTGGTACAGTACAACCGAAGTACATAGAATTTCGAATGTTGAGACTTTAGCACAAATGTCCAACAAAATAATTAATAATTTCAGGCAAAAATCGTTGCAATCCTCAATTGCAACGATTAATTCCCTTTATACTTAGATAAGATTTAGTTTTAGTTTTTAGTTTTAAGATATCAATTGTTATACTGACATGCAGGTTAAAAAACCTGTTTAAAATACTGAATTGCCAAGACATGAACAATGTAAAAACACTTAGATATATATCATAACAATTAAGGCTGGTACGTTACTGCAGTAACTGGAGCACCTAGGTTAAAATGAAATGTAATTTATTTTGAATTTGGAACAAAAAAAAAACCGACCACGTGATGGCGATATCGTCCTCTTCGCTGTTTTCGTGCAGATTTTGTGAGGGTTGTCGAACCGTAGGGTGTTGGGCGGCCTAGCTTTGTTAAGCTCGGCATTACCATATCTCGGTACAACTTGGTTCACCGTCAGGATAAATGGTTCGGAAAAACAAAACCAATCCGTCAGCACAGACCGACTGAAACCATAGACTGAAAATGGACCACTCCAAACAAACACCCACGTTAAGCGGTGGGCGAGGTGGTGGGTTTGGTCCCTGACTAGTTTTGCATTTTAAATTCAGACAACTAGTCTGGTCTAACTTGACTACACAGGTTAACTACAATCCTAGGAACAAATCTCGTTTAAACTCGATTATTTATTTAGTAATTTTACATCACTAAAACTCACTTTTATATCTTACTTATAATCAGACCGCACTATCAACTTTTCAACAAATTGTAGGTTACACTTTCAACAATTTAGCAATTTTAGAGCTAATAGCCAATAGGCTTAAGTTTTATAATACTTAAATGTCTAAAAAGGATCCCAAAAATTAAAAGACCTTGTTTGTTTACGCGAGAAAATATAAAGATGGACATATTGAATTTTTTTTTATTGTATTTAGTAAATGCATTTTTTGATATGAGTATTCAATCATTATGAAGTTATGCGTTTGATTATCATGAATTTAAGCAATGCATTTGTTTTGGATCATAATCTATACATATCCTAAATAAACAAAACGGATACAATGAAAAATGAAAAAGTTACTAACAATTTTTGATGTCCGTTTTATAACATGAACAGTTCTTAAAGTAGAGTTGACTGTATTAAAAAGTGAAAAAGATGACTAACATTTAGCATAAAAGACAATCTTATTGAGGCTCTGGAACGGGAGTGTTAAAACCCCAATCCCTCACCCCCTTTGCTTCAGTTTGTAAACCTCTCAACGGAAAGGTAATGTTACAGTATTTAAAAAAGTAGAAGGGTATGTGCCTAGGGGCACGAACGGAAGCTTGACGTAGGACCGCTAGTGGACGGAATAAATGTGAAGAGCATTAAGTTCTTTTAATTGATCAATTATCTATTATCTCAACTCTTTCCGTTTTTGAATTGTAGGCGTACCAAATTTGTAGCAATTTTTTTCCAAGAGAAAGTTGATTAAGAGAATCATTCAAAATCACTTGCACCCCTGCTTCCAAGTTTGGTTACAAGATTACAATTCTGGAGAGCATTTTGTGTGGTCATTGGGGGCTTGTGGTTCTGAATATGGACAAACAACAAGCACAGATAAATTCTATTCCAACTCTTTACTGATGTAAGCTTGATGGCCCTCCTCAGTCAATTGTTGCTTGCTAAAGGGTGTCCACGATGAAATTGCCACACACGAAATTGATTCGCAAAATTCGAGTTTTCATCCGATTGCCATCAAATTTTCAGGGATTGAGAAATAACTATTAAACTTCATTTTACCATTTTACTCGTATTTTATTTACAGTCCATACGCAAATGCCCGCACCTTGGCCTTAACCCCGGCCATAAGATTCTGCACAACCTGTGAATCAACCGTTTTTTGCATGTAAACCCCTACTTTCTTCAGTTCCTCGACTGTCTTCACTACCTTAGGTCGCTTAAGAAGGTGCTGCTTCATAATCGCCCAGTACTTCTCGATGGGGTGGAGCTCCGGAGTGTTGGGAGGGTTGAACATTTTCGGCACGAAATTGACCTTATTGTCCGCATACCACTTCAGCACGTCCTTGGAGTAGTGGCATGAGGCCAAATCCGGCCAGAAGATTGTTGGGACGTTGTGGGCCTTCAGGAGAGGAAGCAGCCGCTTCTGGAGGCACTCTTTTATGTACACCTGTCCGTTCATCGTGTCCTGGGTCACGAAAGGTGCACTTCGCTTCCCGCACGTGCAGATGGCTTGCCAAACCAGGAATTTCTTCGCAAATTTGGACATCTTCTGAGTGCGGACATGCTCCGGAACGCTGAACTTATCCTTGGCCGTGAAAAACAGGTTGCCGGGGATCTGTTTGAAGTCGGCCTTCACATATGTTTCGTCGTCCATGATGCAGCATTCAACTTTCGTCAGCATGTTGAGGTACAACTTCCTGGCACGGGTTTTGGCGGACTTGTTCTGCTTCTCGTCGCGATTAGGGGCCTTTTGTACCTTGAACGTTCGAAGCCCAGCCTTAGTTTTGGCCTTCTGGACAAAACTTCGGCTTAGGTGCAGCTTCTTAGCCACATCCCTAACGGAGGCGTTCGGATTTCGGTTGAAGGCCCCAACTACGCGGTTGTGATTTTTGGTGTTGTACGGAATACTTTTTCCTTCACTTCTGGGCTTCCGATCGGTGGTCAACCGTTCCTCGAACCGCTTAATCACTCGCGACACCGTGGAATTCGCGATTCCCAACGTTTTAGCGATGGAACGATGCGAGAGATCCTTGTTCTCGTGATGAATGCGCAAGATTTTATCACGCACGAGCTGTTCTTTCGACTCCATTTCCGCGAGTTTTGATCACAGGACTTTAAAACTTGCAGGATGTAAATAATGCACTATGAACTAAATCCACCCAAATTTTCATTAAATTCTACCCAACGGTTAAAAAGTTAGAGCAATTTCATAGTGTAGCAATTTCATCGTGGACACCCTTTAGGTGTGAAGGAGTGGACTAGCCACCACCTTCCAACCACGCCGTCCGAAGCGATAATGAGCTAATGCCATACAGCAGCGCTCTTTTAGATATTTTCAGGTTAAAGCAGAATGATGTGCAACCAAGTGGTATAAAAGCTACAAAGACTCCTCCCATTATGACTAGTTTGCTATCAAGTAGCGACACTGGCTCTTTTCCTTTTGCGTACACGGCGAATGAGAACGACCCAAATTTGAGTTTAGTTCACTCATAATCGCCAAAAGTGCAGGAACTCAGCGATGAATAAATTTGTCTCATGGTTTCCTGTGGAAAACCTAAAAAATCTGCCAGAAAATGATGAAATTGACAAAAATTTTATTCAGTCTCGGAGTAGTACCAATAGACTGAGTGAATCCAATCTTTACTTTTCTCAAATTCTCAAATCCTGGAAAAACCTGGGAAAACATGAGGCAAATTTACTCATCGCTGAGTTCCTGCACTTTATTTCTTATTTCTGAGATAACTAAACTCAAATTTGGGTCGATATCATTCGCCGTAATATCACCTTGAAAGATATCGGCACCGGTGGTTAGCCTGATTACCTCTCACCCCAGCGTCCCCAGCAGGCCTGGGTCCAATCTCAGTCAGCGCCACCGGCATGTTCTAAGGCATAACATCTCTGATCACGCCTTCCTTCGGGAAGTAAAGCCGTTGGTCCTCGGTTGAGTTGATGGGTCGATTGGTAGGGTCCAGGTGTGGGAGCTGCCTTCCTGGCGTCGGTAGCATTGGAGCTCAGTACGGAAAACAAATCTCGCTTCACTTTTCAATAGGTCCTATCTACATTGATCGATTCTCTTTATCGACACTCTCTTTCGTAAATAACTCGGCTTCACAAATGTTTCCTGCCGTCTTCGTCGAATTAGATGCTAGATTGTTGCTTCTTCCATCGAAAATATCCGGCCATGGCAATTCAAAGTTGATCAAGGTTGATCAAAATAAATTGTAATTTGTTTGTTTGATTACATGAGCATTTTGTGTGATCGTTGGTTCTGAATATGGACAAACAGGCAGATTAATTATATTCCTACTCTTTACTGTAATAAGCTTGGTGGCCCTGATTTTATTTGCTCAAACATATTAGAAACATTCAACATCTTCTACCAGGATGCATCCACGTTTTAACCTGATTTTTTGTCAATTTATGTACTGTAACTGAAAAAATAAATAAAAGTAAGCCTAAAATATTATTTCAGATTTGGAAAGCGTGATAAATTTCCTACAAGAATTGATCAAGAGTTTATTATTACCACAAAATGATGAAACTATGTTCCATGACGTCACAACGTTTTACACTTCTCAACTATTTTATTGAACAACTAATCACCAAAACGTATTAAGCTAGGTACTTAATTATTGATCAATTCTTATACCTAGTTACTTTTCATTTTTTCAGCTTCAATAAAAAAATCTATCAAACAAATAGGTAAAAATGTATTATCCATAACTAAGTGAACATCTTTTGCGAAGCATCCCTAAATCGAAGAAAAAGGGAAAACACTCTTTGGAAAACTCCTAAACGCCCCCTTTGCTTTGTTATGAACCGGGCGAGGATGACTGACAACTGCGTTGCCTGCTATGTTCTATCCGAGCATCAGTAGCTTTCCACTTTTCCACAATGGTAGTCAAACTTTTCCTTAACGCAGTTTTTTTCTCTTGATTTGTAGTATAGTCCAAAGCGCCATATAGTGACGGAATTTTACGGAAAAAAAAGTGATAGATTTGAATGTAAAGGCGTGGTTTAGGCAATAAAAATTGAAATTATAAGCCATGGTAGGCCACAGCGGGGAAGTGCCAGTTCGACCACAACTGTCTCCGCACCAAGCTCAATCACCACAGCCAGATTTACCGGTTTTTATACCGCCACGAAAACGGCAAGCCGGAAAGAAATCCTTCCTCGGCAATCATGTGGATCACATTGTTCATTTACAGGTATAATTCAGCTCCAAGCCAGTGGAAGAGTTACATTTACTTCCATTCAGTCATACTTTTTTCGGGGTGGGTCCGATCTGGGACGCTTTTTTATGCTTGTTTTGTATGGGGTATGTTCTTTTGTCGGTTTTGCGCATGCATTGGTTTTTGTTTTGACGTCTATGCTTTGAATACATCCCTTGGGGTGGTTTTCTGTTGGGTGGCGGGCGTCTTTGTATTCGTCTGTTGTATGTACTATTAACATGATAAATGCAACATAAAGCAACACGTGCTCTTTTTTCATTGTAGGGTAACAAAAAAGACTGGGATTTATCGGCGGAACAGGACGATGTAAGGAACGCAAAACGATGGAATAGCGAGGAGATAATCGAAATCAATGGTAGCAAATGCAATAGTCGGGGAGAACACTTAGACGAGGATGATGATCTTAACGAACTGCAGCAATTTCATCCACTTAAGGACAGTTCGACCGTCACACCAAGCAGCATATCGGAGAGTAGCCTGGATAGAAAGTCTAGCAAATCTCACGAACTGCTAACCGGAAGCGGAAAACGATCTAAGAAGCGTGTCAATATTAGAACAGATGTTGACGAAATCAGCAGCAGGCAGTCACCGTCGGCTGTCTGCAATTATGAAGATTTGGAATCTGGCGAGACGAGCGTTTTGAATGCCGATATGGATCAGTACAGTCTAGATCGGTACAACAGCAGGCGATCGATGTCTCCGGATAATTATTTAACTCTGACTGGTAGGTATTTGAAAAAAAAATTAATTTAATGTGCCTAAGCAGATTCAAAGAGATTCATGTTTGCTGATGATACCGTAAACATTTAATGTGCCTAAGCATATTCAAAGAGATTCATGTTTGCTGATGATACCGTAAACAGCTCTAATTCCACACAGCGCCTAATACCGTGCTAAAAATTAGGAATATTTTGAGTTGTTGATTGATTAGTTTATAAATTTTTACCGCAAATCTCAGAATATCGAGTCTACTTTACTAAGGCATAACTAACTTGACAACTATAGTTACACAGCAACTGGATGATGCAAAGATGGACCCCAAAATCGACCCATTTTTTTACTATCCCGGTATGATTAAAGTATTGCAGTCCTTCAATATGAAAAATAATCTAGCTCACTTCGAATCAGTCCGAAAATTATTCTATTTATGATGGAATGTAGTAAAAATTAAGATCATTTTTTTTTAAACACCAATAGTATTTTTCTAATTTTTTTATCACAAATTGGTTCATTTGGCTTATCCCTTCTCTTTCACGAATCCACGAACGTAAACAAACAATCTAAGAGTCATGATTGGCCTTCACGCGAAACACAGTTTGGCAGTCAACCCATGACGATTAATCATTTTATTTAGCATTGAACAAAAAATCACTTCGCATACACCCAGCGCCAGCACAGCATGAATAAGAAAAATAAAATAAAAACCTGTAAATTTTTGTTGCCCAGTCTGAGCGTAGTTAAGGACGTGAGAAAAAGTTTGGTTTATATTTTTATTTAAAATTTTTAAATAAAATAAAAGTGAAAACACGTTGAGTGTAATGCTACAGGTGGATCTTCGATTTAGCATAGAATTTAATATAATTTGTATTGTTTTGTGTTTTTCATTAGCGAAGCAATACCAACATCATAATATCTACCGTGGTTGGGTATCTACTCCAGAATGGCTTCGAAAAATCAGATTCAATTCACTGTGGATAGATTGCGCAACGCTCTAGACTATGTAAGCAATGGAGCTTCTATTCGTGCTGCCTCCCGGATGTATGTATAATATACCAGAGAGCACAAGCCGGGATAAATTCAAGAACCGGTACACAAATTCACCTGGTTGGAGCTCAGTCTTGAGGAAGAAAATCGTAGCTTGAGTTTATGCGCCAATTACAGAAAAAAAAAACATGCTACATTGTACGTATACCACCCCCCCCCCCCCCCCCCTGACGTCCACATGCCAAATTTGGTTCCATTTCCTTGATTAGTTCTCGAATTATGCAGAAATTTCTGTTTCATTTGTATGGGAGCCCCCCCCCCCCTCCCCTTACAGAGGGATAGGGGTCTCGAACCATCATAAGAACCTTTCCCTGCCCCAAAAACCCCTGCATACAAATTTTCACGCCGATCGGTTCAGTAGTTTCCGAGTCTATAAGGGTCTCAGACAGACAGACAGACAGAAATTCATTTTTATATAGGGGAAATGGATGTAATGTCGGTCTAAATGCCCCTAATTTGGGCCCATACATAAATTTTCAATAGCGACCAAAAATAATGATGATAAAATTGATAAATAGCAGATTTTTAGCGATGAGCCCAATCTTAGATCCATAGGCCAACATTAGAGCCATTTCCCCTACATAAAATTAAAATAAACAAAGCTGAGGAGCACGCTAATCTGTTTGTAACTACCTAATTTGGCAGTCATAGGATGCGTTTAGATTAATATTATACTATTTAAAATAATCACAGTGATAACTCATTTCCGATTACAGTTACGGGTTCCGTTTCAACTTGCCCCGGTGTACCTTATAATACAACAAAAAACTTTCTCAACTAGAGGAAATGGATGTAATGTTTGCTTAAATGCCCCTATTTTGGGCCCATACATAAATTCAGCAATCGACTAAATTTTCAATAGCGACCAAAAATATCCATTAGTACCGTCCGTGACGCGTTCATCTAGATAAAATTGATAAATAGCAGATTTTTAGCGATGGGCCCAATCTTAGATCCATAGGCCAACATTAGAGCCATGTGGTTTCTCTACTGCGGTGCACTAATTAGTTGACATTCTATATAAGGTGTGTTTGAGCGGCGCCGGTGGTGTAGTGGTAAGCGTGATTACCTCTCACCCCAGCAGGCCTGGGTTCAATCCCAGTCGGCGCCGCCGGGATGTTCTGAGGCATAACATCTCTGATCACGCCTTCCTTCGGATGGGAAGTAAAGCCGTTGGTCCCCGGTTCATGAGTTGATGGGTCGATAGGTAGGGTTCAGGTGTGGGAGCTGCCTTCCTGGCGTCGGTAGCATTGGTGCTCAGCACGGAAAACAAGATCGACGGAAAACAAATCCAAGGAAAAAAAAAAAAAATATAAGGTGTGCGGTTTTCGCAACGCATTACCACCGAACCCGAAATCTTGATTTTATTTAGATATCATCCAAGTATATTGTTCATTCTTGGCAATCTTATCAGTTATGGTAATGTCACTTACATATGAAATTCTTCATTGCATACAGTAATTCAAAATTTGAAACAAAAATATGTAATTGTTATATTTCAGGAACCATCAAGCGTGGTCGAAAGAAAGGTCAATCAATGGACGTGCAGCTGAACATATCCCGGGAAGAGCTCGAGCAAATCAACAAGCAAGCACTGGCGGCCCACGAGGAAGTATGTCGAACAAAGCGTAATTGTTGCTGCCAGTGTACCCTCCGCGCTGGAGTCCACATCCTTCTGCTGTCGATTATCTGCTTTCCCTTCGTCATACTAACCACTGGCATTTATTCGTTCTACATCGGAACCGTCACGTGGTACAACATGTTCACCTACTTTAACGAGGAAAAATCATATCTACACAAACTGCTAATGTCACCGCTCCTGATTCTGGCCTATCCGTTGGTGATTGTCCTGTGCACACTGGGCTTGGGAATCTACGCTGGAATCAAGCAAGTCAGCTTACATTTTACCGCCTGGATCAATGAGATATGTGACATCGAAAAAGGTTTCTACGGATGGCTGTGCTCTTTCCTGCACCTCTCCGATTGCAGTCCTTACGAGGTGGTTATTTTAACGGACATTTATCCGCCGGGAGGTACGGGTGTGGGACCAGATAGGCCACTTCAGAGCGAATCGACACAAATCAACTCTTCCACCGAGGAATTGTCGTTATAAAGAGTGATAGATGTGCGTGTGTGTACATATAGCCGGTAAAGCACAAATCGGAAGTTCGCTAGTAATGTGACTAGCGAAGCATATTATCAATCGAAGCATTTCGATTTTCGTCTCAACAGACAATATGATATCTTCGAAGTGAGTCTGCTAGTGTTAAATTTGTTTTTGAGTTGCATCCCTCACCCTTTAAATATTGTAAAAGCCACGAGGGACCACAATTAGACGTCTTCGCTTACTGAAAAGCTTAAGTTTACGTTTAGACTTGTCTTGACGCAATAGGCTATATTTGAAGCAATCTGATGCGGAACCATCAATGTACTTAAAAATATAAATGCGCTGCATAATCTGATCGAATACGATGTGGATCAGGCTAATCGTGATAAATTTAGGGAACATTCATAAATGACGTAGCATCCAAAGGGAGAAGGGGGCGGTTCAGGATGTGTGACCGGCTATGTGTTAGGTATAGCAAAATACGCTACGAGGGGGTAGAGCAAGGGGCAGGACAGCTCCTAATCACGAGCAATTTCAGAGTTGCTTTAGAGGCATCAAGTTTTAACGTCACATTGGACACCGGGTTGATTACAACTGTTTTTGCGGTGTTGAGGAAATCTGTCACTTCGCGGAAGAGATTCACGTTTTTAGTATTCAACAGATCCATTAGCGTTTTATACCTATCGGTTATCGAAAGTGTACATCATCCGTAAAAATACATATCTCGGACAATGCAGTGTATGTATTAGATGCTCAATAGTTTCTGCCATTCCACATTAGTCCTGACATTAATCGGTTTGATGTTCTCTTCTTCTCTCGACTGTTGAGCGTTTTCAATTATCACATAAGCCGATCTCGAATCTGATGTTCCTTGATCTGCGCTACCACCAACCGAATAGCAAGCAAAATGGCCAACGAGATACTAACTTGCTTCAACCGAATGCTGTATCGTTGATTGATGGTTTTAATGAAAATGCATATTTAGTACATTTTACTTTCTTTACAAGTGTCTGTGAAAGTTGTTCTTTGGCCTTTGATTCTTCCGTTCGTAAATCTTGGGATCTGGTATGTTACAGTTTTGTATAGTGAATTGTGTGTGAACTTCATCCAGCTATGCATAAATCTCGTTTGAAGATTTCGTGTTTTCCATCATACACTTTTCCATGTAGGTATCCAGCTTTCCACGCTCGGTAATGGCGTCCAGTATGGTATCAATAAATGTATCATTCACTGTGGTTTTGACATTAACTGGAGGTTCGCATTGTCACCCCTCTCTTTCCCACTCCCAGGAACAGAGGAAAATGGAACAACATGCGCCCTCCAGTTAGTGTCAAAAACCACAGTGAAGGATTTATTTATTCATACCTACAGGACGCCATTGCCGAGTGTGGAAAGCTGGATAGCTTTCCAAATCGTTGGTAGGTAGTTCAATACATTCAAGTTGTCGAGGTTCTCTGTACCTATATAAACCGGGCGATCTCCTTCGGAGTCAAAAGTTCGTGTCGCAACTCCAATGATTCTTGTCCACTCAATGCAGACAACAACATTTATGGCGGTAAATTCCAACTCGGATTATCTTTTAATCCCATTCCTGTTTAGATGATCTGCAAAGTGTTTGCTTAGAATCGTGATGATTTCAACATCAAAGCAGCCGGACATTCATGATCGGGATTTAATCTGAGGATAATACCAGTTGGAGCTTATCACCATTAGTGGGTTCAACCCCGTGATCTTCCTCAAACACTGATTTGTTGAATACTGTTAGAATGTTTCTGTTGGTTTTTTCCTGGCGTTGTTGTACGTTAAGTCCTTTAGTCGCTTCCGTAAATCGATCCAAGCATGCTTGGGCAGTTTTGGTGATCTCCGACGGGTGTTTTGCTTTCACTATAATAATATTCCAAAATCATCGACGAATTGAAACAAAATCAAATTTTCTGTATATATAAGTGGGCACCCGCCTTTGCTCATATATGTACAGTCTGCTGCTGTGGAATAGTTCTAGGGATGTTTCATCAAAGCATTTTCAGTCGATGGTGTGTTATAATGCAATTCTTCTTTACCTAACTATTGTGTTGCTCCTCTCGTCATGACAATCTCAGAGAGAAAGCAGTTGGGTGGTTGTTGCGTGCTGTACCATCATAACATTCTCCTCGATCAGCTTCAGCAATTTCTTGTTAACTTTACCAACAAGACCTGTTTCCCTTCCATCATCGACTTTTTGTCGGCACCGTCTTTTGAACTTTGACGAGCGATAGTTCCACCACAGATAAACAGACGTAACTATTAGAAAAGTTTTCTTGAAAACATTGTACTTAAAAATAGAACCGACATCTCTCGAGCTTCTCGCGGAAAACAAGCTAGCTCGTTAAGTCGCAAAAAAATTTGCATGCAACGTAAACAGAATATACATATATAAACATCAAAGTAATCAGCAGCGCTGCGATGCGCAGTTCACGGAATTGATAATATTCAAATCAATAGTTAAATGCGTGCATGATGATCCAGAAGGAAGTGTTACCTCTGATTCCACCAACTCCTTATCCATATTCGTCATCTGCTGTACAAACGATTTTTGGTTCGCCTTAATCAACTCAATCTGCGCTTTCTTCAGCAGAATCTCTATCTGCAAAGTTATTTGTTCTTTTTCTTGATAAGAGAGGATCTTCATCTCCATCCCAAACTGCTTTCCTTAAAATTAATGCTGCATCTCTTGCTCCTTCTTCCATAGGAGCATCTCGACCTCCATCTCCTCGATCTGTCGCTTATGCTTTTTTCTCCAACACCTTCATTCTTTGGTCAACGTTGGAAGTGCTTTTGCGAGAGTTGACACTGAATTTGACGGGTCGATGTGCTTCCAGATATGAGCCTGCTTATTGCCTTCTTTGATCTGATTATGGCATTCATAGGCCCATTTCTTCGGTTTATGTCCCTCCGTAAGGTCTACAAAGCGAGAGTGAAACCAGCTTAAACAATCGTCGCTATCAACCATTACTTTGTCGCATGTTAACGCCTGTTAACGCCACGCAAATTTCACGTGGAGTCGCTGTTTATCCACCGTGGGAAGATCCTGACCTCTCACTTGGATTTTTCCGGAACAGAATCAAATTTTTAGCAGCAGCTGACTATTTTTCGTCAGCAACGCTTAAACTTTTATATTTTTATGCAATTAGTTACAATTTTACTTTTCAATACCGTGGAACCTTGGTAATCTGACCGTTTTAAATCTGAACACTGTTTAATTTGACCCCCGTTAATCTACACGACGTGCAAACTAAAAATGGTTCAAACATTTTTTAGCTTGTGAAATTGAGTGGAACATTGTGAAACGCCCTAGTAACCAACAAGCTAATTTGACTTTTTGCAAAATAAGGCTGATACACGACTAACATAGGGCATGCTAAGCTTTATATTAGTCGCATATTAGCCTTATATTGCAAAAAGTCGAATTAGCGGGCTTGTTGGTTGCTTGGGCGGAACGCAGGATCAAAACAAAACAACCAATAAGGCTACCAGAAACACGCTTTTCTGGGGAACTGGGTTATTAGAAATTCAAATTCAAAATGAAACGAAATGTCGTTCAGATTAGCAGGGGCCCACGGTTGTAAAATGGTTTCCTAACCCATTATAACCTTAGCTTCTCTTGATTCCACCTTTACCTTCTGTTCGCCCTATCGATTTGTTTAAATAGCTACTTGTCCAAACTTTAGCTCAGCTAACCAACCTTCGTGTAGTGCACAGATGGATAAACCACAATTGGGTTGTTTAGGGGTATTCGTAAACAGCATAAAAAATGGAACCTAAATCCAAAATTTAGTCAATTTTGGTGCTCTGGAACTAATTTAAACAAGTGCGATTACATTAGCAAAAATCACCATCTTAGTGCCCCTCGGTGGAACTTTGTATGGGAGCGAGCTGTTAACGAATAGGTTTAGTGTCAACATTTAAAAATTTAAATCTTGATTTACAAATCAAGATGAATGTCTATGGGATCGAAAAAAAATATCGTGATGCTCAGAAAACAAAGCTCTTTCAGATGATGTAGAAAAACCGGTATGTTTTTCGAAATTAAACAACCCAATTGAAGAATAATTTTGGTTCTTCCTGAAAATATTCACTTTACTATTTCACTGGTAAACGAAACTTATATCACATATAGATTTTTTCCGAGCATTTCTTATTCTTACTAGATTAAATTTGAGAGTATTGCAATCGAACAGAAATTCAATCACCTTTATGTTTCGTGTGTTTCTCAAATTCAACTAGATTTTTGAATAAAAAACAATATTCTAACTCTGTTGATTAATTGATCTTAGTTGGTTAATTAATGGCACAAAGAAATGTGCAAAATATTGTGATGTAATCAATTATTATTTTGCACATAAATCGAATCAAAAGTAACAGTCATGTGAAATGCTAGCTTCTAGCCAGGGTTGCAAGATTATTTAGGCACAAATCCCTGCTGCCGAATTATATTTTGTTTTCTCCGCCCATCTCTCCCTCTGAGTATTTCTAGTAAAACCAGTAATCGGGCCACCACTTGTAACCCTCGTAATCCTACGACCAGCGAGTTTCTGGTAGCCATATTTGCTGTTTTGTCTTGATTCTGCGTTCCGTCGTGACATTTCGGTTTTCCCCATTCCATGTGCTAAATGACGTTTGAGTAACGTGCACGACGTGCAGATTACCCGGGTAAAGTCGGTTAACAAAATTGATTTCATTGAAAGCAAGATTAGTTTTCCGTTTCATTCAACAGTGTAAACAGCGGGGCGACCCCGGCGTAGTGGTTAACGTCCATACCTCTCACGCCAAAGTCACGAGATCAAATCTCACCCCGGACAAGTCACGAATGACCTAAGAGTGTTAAAGTGACTATAATAATAAAAAAAAAGTGTGAACAGCTCTCATTTTTGCTGTGTTAACCGTTAAGTCGACCAAAATGAGATCAACTGTATTCAAAATAAGTTGAATCATAACAGCAAACTTTGATTTAAATTGGATCTCCAGCTTTGCTAGCGTAGCGGGGTTCAAACTAAAAAGTGTCCAGATTAAAAACGGTCAGACTACCAGGGGTCCACAGCACAGCACTCTTATTTTGGTTTAGTTAATGGAAACAACATTTTACACTGAGGAATCAAACTGAAAACTAATCCTGCATTCAATTAAATCAATTTGATTACTGATTTTGCCTTCATAATATTGAAATGAATACGGACCTGGCGTAAATGGTTAGCATGCGATATTTTTTACACTGAAAAGTCTTAGTTCAAATCTCACCCTGGAAAAGGACCTAAAATATGGTCAACAATAATCGTTTGTTCAACAACAGATGAAATTAAATTAAATGTTCAACAAGTTAAGTTGCCTCCATTAAAAAAAAAGTCTTGACTGCATACTGGAAGCTTAATAAGATATCAGACTTATGTCGCGGCAATTGAAATCAAAATGAGTTTTCATTATGATAGGAACAGCAAATGTTTATACCGATTTGTTTTGATTTTGTTAACCGAATTTGCTCGGGACTCTACTCAACTCAAGGGACGAGTCAATGGTTCTGCTCTCAACTATTACATCATTTTATATTTTGTGGATTTTTAAACTTCAACAGCACGTAACTTAATTGAAGCGCGTCAGTTCAATAATTGTATACTTCAGCCAATATAAATTAATAAATTTTATTTTATTCCTTAAAACGCCTAATTTCCTATTCCCAATAAATGTTCCTAAACGATAAAGTAATTTTATAATTATTTTTATTTTAAATAAGAAAAACTGCCACTATTAAGAAGATTGACCAGAGTAAGTAACTGCTGTTCGAATACTCAAAAGACTAATATATAAAAGATACGATACCAGCGGCAATATTCAAAAATCGAAGGTCGATTTAGACACATAATCATATAATAATATACATAGATAACGTGGATTATAATCTATTACAGGCAAATATATCGAATTGTAACCGATATGATAGTGTACTGAATATATTAGCAAATAAACATTATTTCCAATCTTGATAGTTCTTTTATGTTCCATCCGAAGAGAAAACCATGGTTTGTAATTCAATGTTTTGTTTTCATTTAAAAATATACATATGTTATCAATAGTTTCTCTCATATAATATAACAATATAGAATTAAAATAATCTGAAATATTTTGATTGAGGATCACAGTACCATCGTTTCTGGTTTAAAACTGAAACCAAATAAAGTTATTCAACAAATGCGCGAATACTTTTAAAAAATATATCATATTTTAAAGAATTTAAATTCTGGTCCCCTTGTAGGAACAATTTTGACGGTTTAGTACCTACTAAAACTGGACAACGAAATGGAAAGAAAACCAAATAATGGTCATAATTATACCTATCGTATCTGCATATCCGACTGATGTTGCTCGGGAACAAACATATAGAACAGAATGTAAGCGGCACTGGAACATACATCCGACTTAACGAGGCTTGACACAGTGTGATCATCAAACTTGTACCACCTGGAAAAAAACATAAAAAACTTAGGAAGTCCGCCGAGATTGCAATTTTTGTGAACGCATACTTTTGATGCACCCTATTCCGGCAAAATGCCGTATAGTGGCCACTTTCCATGGATCCGTAGTGGTTTGAAACCCCGTACAGTTGGTATCGGCGATGTATCAGCTTTTGGTTGCGGCTCTTCTCCGATGGCGCCACATGCGGTGACATGTCCAATTCAACCAACGGGAATTTTACATAGTTCTGCTTCTTTTTATATACAGTGGAAATGGCATCCGGATCGGCGTAGAACCGTTTAAAGTGAACGATCAGAATCGAAGGCAGCCTAGAAATGTCTAGCTTCTTGATGGCATCCTGATTGCTCTTACACTGGGGGCAGTTCCATCCGCGTATACGTTCGCCATCAAAGTACATCTCCAAGCAGTCCTGTGGTGCATGGGAGAGTGGTGAATTTTAGGCATAATAAAATATGTAACTATGTGTTGAATGAAGAGCTTCTGAAAAGGATTGAGAATTCCCTTCTAATTGCAGCATGTAACAGATAAATGCATACTTCGTCCGAAGATGTTGGACTTGATCAGTATCTAGTAAAATAAAGTGTAAATAAGTGGCATAAAAAATGAAAAAAAATCTCAATCCACTTTAAAAATGTTAAGTTAAAAGGTAAAATTTAACATAAGGTACGTATGTTAAACAGTATTTGATGCTATGTTCGCACTCCTTGTTTGGAAAATTGTTCTCAATCTCATTCATTGAGCCACCCTGAGAGAATAAACGAATCTGGCAAACAAATCCCACGCTTGAGATTCTCATGCATTTTAACGCACTCGCACTCACTAAGTCAGCTTGAATCTAATAAAAACCGGCCTCGGGTTCATAAATTAATTGCTCGATAATTTAGCGTTATGCATTGTTCTTACTGTTGTTTTTGCATCAGTGAATGGAAAACCCGGAACAGACCTTGTCGTAGACATAGATTTGTCAAGCAAGCATTGCAATGTATTGATTTTCAAAAGTGAATTTTACCATACATTCTCAAGTCGATTATGCAAGCCCATACGATCTAAGGTGGCTCGCCCTCTGGCGATGAGCGCTATCAGAACAGTTCGAAACACCTAATAAGTCTTAGGATGGTAGAAATTCAACGTGATTCCAAATCAGATCCTCATCATCTTTCCGAAGGTTGAGCCCATTTGATAGTATCCGTAAATCCTGGCCCTTTGAAGTTATGATTATGGAAATTACTAGTGGAAAAGTGAAGTGTTCACCTCGATAAAACCTTTCAACTTAAATTGTTCCATTGCAAGGAGTACTATCTGTAACGAAATTTTCATAGTTACGACTTAAACATCAAAGGACGAGTGCAGTTTTAGGTTGCAGCCAAATGAGCTCAAATGCTAGAAAGAAGATCAGATTTGGCATCGATTGCGCTGTGCGCAATCAGTGTTCTGAAAAACTCAAAAACTCCACTTGTTGTTTATTAATTTATTTGATAAGCCTCAAACGAATTAACTTTACAGAGCCGAGGATTTTTGGTCACTATACAATACATCTTAAAACTATAGTCAAAAGATTCAACACAATAAATACTTTATCTTCCGCTATCCAAAAAGCCTCCTCCATCAGAACTGGAGTCGCTTCCAGTGGTTTCATTGTATGGCAGTTACGCCATCGTGGGGCAAAGCGCTTCCATTGCAGCAATGGACGCAAAACGTGGTCAACACTCACACACTCATCACGAAACGGTTGGTTTTAAAAGTCGACGACGCATCGACCGAAAGAACTGCTGATGAAGAACAATGAGAAGGACCACACAATGGTTGCTGCCGAGAAAACAGACGATCGCGTGGCACACATCGAGAGTGGCCTGCTTTTGTCGACACCCGAGTGAATACTGAAAAAACTCAAATTACATGCATAAGTTTATGCGCCTATGAGTTTTGCCTTGCAAAAATCAAACATGAGTTTTCAGGTTCAAAAATTCATTTCTATATATTTTGGATTTATTGATAGTTATTACTATTGTTTGTGCATCAGGGGTTTGAAACCTAAAAAAACATGCATAAGCATGCTATAAATTTACGTTTGAGTGGTTTTTATGAGTTTAAAGATGGAATAATTTTTCGGTGTTGTGAGTGTGAATGTGTGAATATGCATGAGAATCACAAGCGTGAATTTTGTTTACCGCATTTGCACGCGAGTTTATTCTCGCAAGGAGGCTCAATGAATGAGATTTGAGAACAATTTTCCGAACACTGTGCGTAATGATAGGCTTAGATAAGAAAGTCTTCATTTAAAGTGTGGAACAGAAAGTAGAAGAAAACCCTCCGGAGCTTTGATGCAAAGAACCCTTTTCTATAGAATCCCATTTGTGCGGTAACGCTACTCACGTTTAGTTGACATTTGTTGGCATCCGAAGGCAGTTCTAGGCTGAGACTCGAAAAGGATTCATAAGTTGCACTTTCCTTCCCGCAGCGGACGCACTTGACCGTACTTTTGATTTGGCCATACGACATGTGCGCTATGTAGCTTTCCTTTCCCTTAAAATATTCCACCCACGCTTTTTCGGACGCCGGAAGATTTTCTATGCTCGTCTTAATCTGCAATAACTGAAACTTTAAAACGACCCTCATTTGTTAATTTTACGCAAAGCAATCACCGTTATATTTACTGTTTGAAGATCGGAATGCAGCCAATCCATTAGTATTGTTAGGAACTCGTGGGAATCCTGCTGCTCGATCCCACCAAATTGGCGCTCGTATTGTCCTACGACATACTGAAAAGAGGGAAAACAAAATTGATTCAATTGGCATTGTACAATGCGTCTCCATTTCAAATGAAGTACTTCTACACTTCAATGGAGACGCACCGTAATACACTTACCTTTAAATTCTTACTAGCAATGCACTTATACTGGCCCGTCCATAATTCTTTTATTACCGCTGCAACTTCTTCCGCAATCCGTCCTTGCGTTTTGTTATTCCTATAAAAAAAAATCAGTAAAAATAACTCCACGCTTATTAACCTTGCGGATTTTTTTTTTAATTATCGGCAAAATGGGCCAAAGGGTCTCAGAATTGTATGCCCATAGGTAGAGATTACAGTTACATGAACGAAAAAAAAAAATCAAAAAAATTTAGGGTGGTTAATTTTCCCGGAAAATTTTAGTTGAAATTTTTGGATTTTCCCGGACATAATCCACTTTGAAAATTCATAACTCATGAACCATCGCATTGTAGAAAGAACTCAGCAATTATAAAAAATATACTCTGAAAATTTTCATGGTGGAGGAAAATCGCAAGAAAATCATGGAAAATCATTGTGTCAGGGTAATGGGATTTTTTCTAATGATTTGTTTCATGCTTGAATACTTCTTGTCTTTAAGTGGTGAAAATTGCAGAGTGGTGTACTTACCGAAGAACTAACAACCAGCCAGGAGAGCTATGAAAAATTATCGTTTTCTTGTTTGTTTCAGGATTTTCTTAGAATGGCACGTAACCGGTCATTAGTTTTTCGGTAAATACTCAAAAACGGTAAGAGATACCGTTGTGAATTTTTCACCAGTGAAAGATAAGAAATTTTCAAGAAAGAGAAAAGATGTTTTTCTGTTTTTCTTGCGATGTTCCTCCACCGTGAAAATGTTCTTGTAAAATGTTTCTCAGATTGTATTTTTAATGTATTGTTCATTATCATTTTACTACACAACGTATTTTATACGATGTCATGGTTAATGAGTTATGAATTTTTAAGGTATCTGAAAAATTCAACTAAAATTTTGCGGGAAAATCATTCAACCAGATTATTTTTTTTTAATTATGTTTCTTTCATATAATCATAAACTCTACATGTGGGCAAAATTTCATCAAATTATGAGACCCTTTGGCCTGAACATGTCCGATAATAATGAAAAAAAAACCCATCTTTTTCACCTATTGAGATTCTGTCTGAATGATCCATCTTGAAAGTAGTCCATAAAGAACGCCGTATTGCTGAGGCACTGGAGAATGCTGTTCATATAACATGTATTTCCTAAATTCTTTAGTCCGGTCAGTCCACGTTCCTGTTGAAAAGGAAAATTGAATCAGATGGGAGCTCAGAATAGAGCGAGCGGTTATTGGTAATCAAATTATCCGATTAAAATTCCGGCCCATTGCCAGTGGCAGACAGGTGACATGAGCAAATTCCTACCGCATCTCGTTGAGTAACAACAACTGTCAAGCTGTTGTTAACAATGCAAGAAATGAAATTTGTCTGCACATAGGAAAATGGAGGAATGGTGGTGGTCAAAAAAACGAAAAGGAAAATAAATAGACCAAAGAGGTTCTTATTCTCAAACAACTGATTGCTTACTGATTATAGTTTAATACGTAAATCTACAGTTTTGGTGCAAGACTGGAAAATTTATATCTTTATGGTTTAATTGCATAGTAAATTGTTAAACTTGTCATCCATTAATAGGCAGCATTTTTTATAGATGTGGAAGTTTTTAACTTTGGTTCTATAATAAATGAAACCATTGTTTCTATTTTAATAACACTATCGCAACTTTAAGCATGGCACCACCATCCTAAGGGCAAACATTTGACCGGGAAAATAATGTATGAAGATTTGAAAAATTTCCCAAAGATATCGATTTTGCCGGTTTTGGAAGCGAAAACCGAAAAAATATTTAGCAGGGGTGTGCGTAAAAAAAATTACCCAGCACCTACACAGAATATTGTTTTCAGAAAAGGTCCATATTTCGTTAAAATCAACATTTTCCGATATTCTGCATACAAAATAAAGCACCGTAACTTTTTTATACTAGCGACATCTGTTAACATTCATGTGCTATTGATCTATTGAATAAATATGAAAATCCGACATTTTTAGACCAAAGTCCCATACTGCAGTCATAGACACTCCTCTAGAACAGCTACCCCATAGAAACCAATTCAAATTGTCTACGTTAATAAGTTTGAAATATTAGCTGAATGGTTTTGAGACATGGTACACGGATTGATTTTCGCGGAACGACCGTTTGAGGGCAATGGCTTTTGACGCGGGTTTCTTTGAATTTAGATGGTGCCCACGCGGACTGTCGGGGCCTTTCGATAAAGAAAGTTTGCTCTATCAGATGCTGGTGTTATATTTCGTGGGTGTGTTTTTGATGGTTGAAGGGTTTGTGTTTGGAGCTGTCGTTTACGGATGGTTGTTCCGTTTGTTTCAAATGTTAACCCAGAAATAGCCTGGCTTTTGGTTCAAATGCCAAAAGTTCATCCAAAGACACCAGGAGCATACATTAAATTTTATAGCAATTATGCTCCCAACGAAAACATATAAATACTATTATTCAATTGTAACTGGAAGCGTTTGGTACGGGAGGTCCACGCTTTCTTCCTTTCCCTTGATCTCAGGTTGTGGAGTGGTTTCAGATATTCATTTCTGACATCACTTGACTCCTTGAAATCCTCTCTGCGGCACATACTGCGCAGTTGGCCTGGCCGGTGACAAGAAAAATGACGGATTCGTGAAGTCGTCATTTTCCAGGATGCTTTCAAAGTATTGGCTGCGTTAGTGTGAGATTAGATTAGATTAGATTAGATATTAAATGATCTTAATTAAGCTGTTTCCTAGTCCGATAAAAATTTCAAATGGCCCGTAACCTTGGATTTCGTTGTAAGACTGGGATCTTAAACAAAAACTAATTCTACATTACAAAAAAAAAGCGGTACGAAACCTTGCAAATCTTTCTGGTTTAGAATATTAAAAATATTAATAAATCCGGAATTCGTCGATACTCAAATGATCCAAGATCATATTTTTGAAACCTTGAATTTGAATAAAAAGTACGAAACATGGTGAGATGGACCAAACTGGACTAAGCCGTCTGTGAAGACAGTTGCAAAGGAAAAAAAAGTGCGAAACCTTGAAACTGAATTCGTCCCAGAACCCTGAAGATCCAAGACATATCTATAAAAAATGTTTCTAGTCCAAAGAAATTTTCCGTGGATTTAAATTGTTCAAGTCTAAACCTTCTTTAAAAAAAATCATTTTTCACTTTCATACATGATTGGTGACATCCAAGAAATCAAAAAAAAAATATCTCCAAATGACAAAATGACAAGCGATCAACGAACCGAATGATATCGCTATGTCAGAAGTGGAAAGCAATAATGATATAATCTTATTCATTCTGTATCATGACAAGCAGCCCGTGCGACACTGCTCACTCAGGGCGGTAGAAGGAAACGAGCAAATTGTTGGAAAGCTGCTTCACGAAGCAAAGCCGAAGATGATACACGTGTGTTAATGGAATTTTTTTCTTATATCTTTTTCGATTCAGATCATGCTATGTCCTCATCCGTGTATATTGCCACAAAGCAGGCCAGCAATATATAATTATCCTTCTACCACTCCGATCGAGCTGTGTTGCAGAGAGAGTTTGTCGTGGTAGTCGTAGCAAGGGTTTTGTCTGTATCGTTGGTTGCTTTATGTGTTTGGATTCGCTGGTGACATCATTATAGTTTGTAATGCAGTTATAAATAAGGATTGAGAAATATTTCCCTGAATTTAATGAGAATTCCCTAAAATTTCCTGAGTTTCCACGCCAAAAATTAAAATACCTGAGATTCCCGGATTTTTCAGGTAGTCGCACTGCAGTTGCTCGACCGAAATACTCAAACTCTATTCATGAATTCGTACTACGAGTATATGACACTGCAGGTCAGGCCGTCTTTATTCAACTCCAATCGTGCTTGTTTCCAAGACATCAACAGTACCTCTGTACATTTTGATCAGACCATGAAGCAAGAAATCCATGAAAACCAGGTCTTCATAGCTCGATGGTTGTTCTTATTATGTTCGCAATCAAGTACCACCACATCAGTCAAGAGAAGAAATCTGTCACAGATGGGCGACCATAAAAGTGTCCACTGGTTTTGGCGCCTCCTATAATCCTCAGCCTGGGTGCTGTACACAAAAGTCGTCTTCATTCAACTCGTTAATGTTAGTTTAATAATGAAGAGAAGAGTTCCTATTTCACTATTGACAAATCCAAGTTAATGCCGGCCACAGCGGGGCTGCAATCGTAGCGGTGATGAACTTGAAATCATCTGTCAAACTGCATATATTTTCAAGTTTGTGATAAGAAAACTATGTTTTACGTGTTATTGTACTTGCTTTATTCAATAAAAGAAAGCAAATATGAACAGAAAAGTAGCGCCGGCAAGAATGGTAAGTAAATCCTAATTTTTTAAATGCAAAATTATTGAGATTTCTTCAAAATGAAAAATATGTTGCTCCCAGCAAAACATCAACAAATAATGTTAACAATATTTAAACATGATTCAAACTGAGAATGCAATCCTGCAAGATCATCCTATCGGAGATTGAATTAAATCAATTAGTTTTGCTGTTTGAGGTGAGTTGTTAGAACAATTTTACATATTGAAGCAATCAAAACAATATATTGTTCCATCCGCAGGAACATCATCTTTCCTATAGCTGAACCTGAAACATTCCTATAGCTGAAGGAATATAGCCGAACGGAAACCCTTCCTTCTCTGGCATAAATAGAATCTCTCTGGTAAGTAGAATTAGATATTTAAGTGCTAAATTATTGAAATAGCATTGAAATAAAAAAAAATCGTAGAACAAACATGATAAAACCAACTAAATCCATGCATGCTTCGATCGATGGTTGCAAATCGTATCCGAATACAATCCTACCGTATTAAACCAACAACCAGCATCGGGTGCCTGCATTGGAATACATTTTACAAAGGGGCTCTTCTATTTTCATTTAATTTAGTTGGTCACACCCTAATAAAAAATTACCATAAACGAACGATAACCCAACTCATTGAACTATTCCACAAATGGTTTGGATGATACCTTGAACACGTTGTTAATGGCCAGATACTGAATAAAAAGAAGTCGGTGAGGTTGACCAGCAGCTTGTGCAGAAGCATTCCGAAGCTATTTTCGTATACGATAAGCCCCGCTCCAAAACATTTCAATGTGGGAATCATTAATAATGTACTGGACCTTTTCAACCACGTATTTAATGAGTTGGAAATGTTTATAGTATCACTAGTAGTAGTACTAGTACTCGGAAATTAAATATGAAAATATTATAAAGGACAAAATAGAACGAACTCACCAAATCTGGCCAAGTGAACCCAACAAGCTGGCCTGATGTGTTAGAGGGGAAGTCGCAATTGTAAACGGTTCGCTGCACGAGGTAATCCGGTTTGTAGTAGAGCTTTCACGGAATGTCCCGAATGTAGTCTTGAAACACCTCTTGGCCGTGCGACACAATCCGCACACTGTGGAACCCGATTTAGGTAATGCAAGTATCCGTTTGTCACCAATATCACTTTACTGTTAAAAAAATCCGAAACAACGCAAAATCCAAAAATTTGAAGGGAGGAAAAAATTTCGCTTCCATCTATGTACAAGCACAGTACTCTTCGATCAAACATTGTAAAACCCATATTGTATCTTCAAACTACAACAAATACATAACATTTTCTTCTAATAGCTTTTTATTCTAAACCAAACAGATTGACAGGGCTTTACTTTTTTACTGTGGGCTTGGTGGTGAGTTGACAACCTGGATGGACCGGAATACCTAGCTCTGGTCCTTACAAGTTCGCACCTCACGCCTCCCCGAGTCATATGATAATAAAAGACAACATGAACACAGTTGGGCTGGGCAATGTTGCCAAGTGGCAATAGCAAAGTGAAGAGATGCGACGCGAACACTGGCGCGGTAACCAAAGTACGGTGATAGAGGAAATGCTTCACCAAACACGAGTGTCTGTTTCTTCATGGAGGTTCAGCTCGAAACGGCGTCTGTTCTCCATGTTAGGAGCGACTGAGCATCGTTCAAGTGCCAGCGTGGGACTTTAAACAGACCTGGCACGATGGTCCCTCCACGAGGCAGAGGGTTGGCGCAGGCCTTAAAAGCCTCCCTGGAAAAATATTAAGTTGCAAATACCGAACAAAAAAATACGGATCGGAACAATCGGCACATATCTACGCGAGAAAATAAAGACTACGATTGGAAACTCGGAA